TAGTGATATTAATGGATATGAGAATGGTGTGGGACATGTTCAAAAACACACGTTTTGCGGCCGAATAATTTTCCTAGAATTATTTTAATACGCTAGACATGATTCAAATGCGGGTGCCATGGTGGGCCGAGGCACAGTGGAGGCCGCCTGTCGTCGGCTCCGTCGGCAAGGGTCATCATCGACGCCGATGCTCCTGATGCTGGAGTTGCGTAGACACCGAGTAGACACTGTCGTACGTTCGCGACGCTCGACGAACGAGGCTGTCCTGAGCGAGGCGACACCGCGTGCGACGCTTGGGTCGTTGCTAATCGCTCCTCCGCGCCGATCGCTCTCGGACCAGTGTTTCGAGGCCATGGAGGACCACGGCACCGCGAAGAAGAGGGTACTGGCATGTTCTCTACCATGACTGTGGTCGGTAAGCGATCAAGACGTGCGATCGCGAGCAAGCAACCAACAGAGAATGCGCGGGACTGCCAAGCTACTCAGCTTTGACGCAGTATGTGGAGTTGGACGCGCGCTTGTGTCTACGCTGGATATCTGTCTTTCAAGAGTGGACGTGGGTGAGACTAACACGGTGTCTTTCGTTAAAGTCGATTGGCACGAGAAACGTAGCAAGAGCCAGCCACCACCAAGAACCGTGGTCGGGGGGCGCATCATGCCACATTCGATGTGTCCCGTGGCTACTCGAACGCTGCTCGATTGAGCGTCCGTCTCGTCGTAGACGCAGGCAAGACGATAGAGCGCGACCGACTATTTGTTTGGTGTTTATTTAGCGGCGTCTCTAAACGGGAAGAAAGGCTCTAGATGCGGGTGTACGCAACGTGCCGTCGACCTTGCAACAAGACGAAGCGCTCGTAAGATCGCGCGCGTTGTGAGTAGCAATGAATGGGCAAGCAACCGAGCAAGAGGCAAAGACAGCCATCCGCTGCATCTCCAGCTACTACTCATCGCGGTAGGACGACGACGCGTCGACTACTGGCGTGCGATGACAGCGTCTTGAAAAAGAACGATTTGACAGCGCGGCCGTCATGCGCTCACCACGACTGCAGACCAGGGTAGGGACTGACGGATGCTACGTCGTCACTAAATCACAAAGAGAGCTCTTCATGAACTCGTACGAGCGCATTAAAAGATCCATACTTGGATGGATGTGGACGGCATCGTCGCCAATACAAATGGTACTAAGCCAGCACGCCATCGATGACGGCATCGTGCAGCAGCCGGCGCTGGCGTTTCCGAGCAGTGCAAGTGCACGTCGAAGTGGGCAAAAGTTAGGACGATAAGCAGGCGTGTGTGCAGGCCACACCAATCTTGCGAGGGCAGCACTCGTCTTTCCAGTCAATTTATATCAAATGAATTCGACGGTTTTATATCACACACATCCTAGTGTTTGTCGAAAAACGAGCTCAACCACCAACGATTCACCGCCAACCAAGCTCGTTGCATCGCCGAGACGTTGCCACGTTATGATTAGCGTCGGTCACCGTGTACGCAGGAGGAGACGCCCGGGCGTTTTACTTGATCACGACAGCTCACTGCAGCATGCGCGATTCGTCATGCCAAGCAGTAACGCGGTGGCACCAGATGTGCCGTTGGTCGCACGCTTCGACGTTCGACGCCCCCAGCTGCAAGGGAAGGGAAGGAAATAAACCACCGATGTTTTTCACGCGGCCTGTCCCTCATCTCTCGCACCGCACTCCACACTCGCTCGCATCGCTTCGTAATTGGGCCAAGCGACTGCTCTTCCTGCAGCCAGGCTCGACGCATGTACAGAACATTGCGTCCGAGTAGCCACCGTTTCCGATTTTCAGATTGCAGTTGAGATTGCAGTCGACATTGCAGTTTAAAATCGCCAGTGGCGATTCGTCGCTGTATTTTCACATTTTTCACCAATGTATAAATGATTGAATGTGGGACACGCAGAGGTGCATTGCCAAGGGACGTGGATTTTTTGGCCACCAACGACCAACGACCGACCCGCTCACTTCGTGATTGCCAGTAAGAGTGCCAAGTAGGCTAGAATGGAGACACCGAGCGATAACAACAAGTTCCTCTCGACGCTCGAGACGCCGTTCACGCTCGCGGTCAACGGCGAGACGCACCACGAGAGCGTCGACCCGGCGACGTTGAGCTGGCACAATTTGCGCTACACGGTGCAGCCCACGACGCTTCTCGGCAAGAACGGCCCGCCCAAGACGATCCTCAAGAACATCCATGGCCACGTCTCGCCCGGCCAGCTCACGGCCATCATGGGGCCGTCCGGCAGCGGCAAGACGACGCTCCTCGACATCCTCGCCGACCGCGTCTCGAGCGGTACGATCGAGGGCAACATCGAAGTCAATGGCCACACGCGCCACTCCAAGTCGTTCCGCAAAATGGCCACGTACGTGGCCCAAGAAGACTCGCTCCTTGGGTCGTTTACAGTCCTCGAGACGCTGCGGTTTGCGGCCAAGATCTCGCTCCAGGATGCGCATGCGGTCCAGGAAGAGCGAGTCCAGGCCGCGATTGCCGACATGGGCTTGACGAGCTGCGCCAACACGCGCGTCGGCGACCTCTTCTTCAAGGGCATTTCCGGTGGCCAGAAGCGCCGGCTCTCGATTGCGATTGCGCTCTTGACGAACCCGTCGATTCTGCTGCTGGATGAACCGACGTCCGGTCTCGACTCGGCGTCGACGTACCACATTATGAAGTACATTGCGAAGCTCTGCGCGACGGGTCGCACGGTCATTTGCACGATCCACCAGCCGTCGGCCGAGGTCTACAACATGTTTTCGACCGTCTCGATCCTTGTCGAAGGCAGCACGGTCTTTTATGGCGCGCCATCGGCCGCGCTGACCCATTTCGAGTCGCTCAACTACCCGTGCCCGCTGTACACGAACCCGGCCGAGTACTTTGTGAGTCTCGTCAACACGGACTTTGAGGGCCACGCTGACGTCCCTGCGTTCGTCAAGTCGTATGCGTCGAGCGAGCTCTGCAACGGTATTGTCCGGGCCATTGAAGCCGATCGCCACGCCGCCTCGGTCCTCTCGCCCAAGAAGGTGCCGAGCCAAGGCGCGTCCGGCTTGACGCAGTGGATGGTGCTCATGCACCGCAACACGCTCGACAACATTCGCAACCCGGGCATCTACTGGGTCCGCCTCTTCATGTACATCATGCTCTCGTTCATGGTCGGCACCATGTACTACCACACCAACACGGATTTGACCAAGGAAGATCTGCTGCCGATGCTCTTTTACGTCCAAGCGTTCCTCGTCTTTATGAGCGTCGCTGTGCTTCCCTTCTTTATCGAACAACGCGCAGTCTTTGTCCGCGAACGGGCCAACCAAGGCCTTAACGTCGGCAGCTACGTATTTGCCAACTTGCTCGCGGCCTTGCCCGGCATCGCGCTCATCTCGATCCTCTCGACGATGCTGGTGGTCTGGCTCGCGGACCTCAACGGGTTTGGCTATTTTTTCCTCAACCTCTTTTTGTCGCTGGTCGCGGCCGAGTCGCTCATGTGTGTCATTGCCGCCGCCGTGCCCCACTACATTATTGGGATTGCGCTCGGCGCCGGTCTCTTTGGCATGTTTATGCTCTGCGAGGGCTTCATGGTGCCCAAGCACGCGATTCCCGACTACTGGATCTGGGCGTACTACATGGCCTTCCACACGTACTCGTTCGAGTCGTTTGTGTACACGCACTTCAACCCGATGCAGTCGACGGACGCGACGGCGAAGGCGATTTTGACGCGCTATGGCTTCCAGAACGTCGACGTCAACCGCAACATGGGCATCCTCGCTGCGTACACGGTGCTCTTCCAGCTCATCTTTGCGTTCATTCTCTACAAGTTCCACACGGGCCGCCGGTAAGCGACGTAGGCTTCGTCTCGTTTCGAGTGATCACGTTCATAATACATGGCTTTTTGTATCGTCCAATCTGTGTCTTGTGTTAAACGCTGCTGAAGTAAAAGGGCAGATACCATCGAGTGAGGATGCAGAGAGGGATGCGACGCCGCTGGACGCTCGACCGCCGGGACGAGAGCACTGCCATCGTCGCTAGAGCGAGTGCGCTGATGGGGCGGAAGAGCAGGGTTGGGATGCCAAGTATGGCCGTAGGTTCTCGCTCGCACAACTGCCTCTGACGCTTCTCTGGTGCACCTGGCACGCTCGACACAAGTACGGTCCATCGTAGGTAGAAAGCGCCCGTAGACGCAGCGCGATGTATACACTGGATCGACGCATGCGGATTGGATAGGGTTAGGGTCCAGCCGCATCGGATACTGGATGGACGTCTGCGTGGACGTCAAGAATATAGCATACCAGCCTGCATACCAGCCTGCGTACCCTTTCTGATGTAGTTTCTTATAGCCGTGACAGACCAGCGGTGACCTTGCCGCATTTGGGGAGCGGTAAGTGATAACGTCGGCTGAAGGCGGTCGCCGCGGACTGCCTACGGCAATTACTCACTTTTCGTATCCGGACAATGGACCTTGTGTTTTTATAGTATTGCATCTCGTGAATTGTATTGGATCTGAGTCTTTTTTATGGGGAAACGCCATTCGTTAAAGTACCTGGCACGGTATCCGGACTCGGAGGCGGCGCCGCACAGAGCAACGCGGTGACGAGATGGTGTCCAAGGTCTTCACGAGCTTCCTCTGCGTCTGCTGCTGGCTCCATGGCGCGACGGTCGGCGTCGCGATCGGCGATGCGCTCGACCTGCAGCACTTCTTCCTCCTGAGCGTCGGCGTCTTCTTTGCGATCACGGTCATCTACCCGACGTCGCGCCGGCTCGCGGTCTCGGCCATGTTTCTCGCGTGCGCCGTCTTCCTCTCGGCGCTCGTCAAGTCGCTCGCGTTCTTCCGGACGCCCAACCACCACAGCGCGCTGCCCGACGTCGGCCATGACTTTTTGCCGTCGATTCCGATCCCGCCGAGCTTTCTCTTGCAGCTCGTGCTCGGCGCGACCGCGACCTTTGTGGCGCTGCATCCCCTGCGCAGCATTATTCTGCGCCGGGTCCTTCTCATCTACGCGGCGCTGCTCATGGCGCGGACGCTCCTCGCGCTCATGACGTTTCTGCCCGACTCGAACCCGACGTGTCTCGTCGAAGAGAAGAATCCGAGCGCCCGCGAAGTCGTCCAGCACTTTCTACTCTCGCGCCGCAGCCTCGCCGAGTGGATTCGGTCGCAAACCAACGTGAGCCTCGTGGCGTGCCGCGACACGATCTACTGCGGCCACTCGACGCTCCTCATCCTCTGTGGCATGGTCTGGCACACGTACTACCACCGCGTCGAGAGCCCGGTCAATTGGGTCAAGTCGATTGTGTGGACGACCGCGATCACCGCCATGGTACCGCATGCTGCCACGTCATGCTTTTGTCTGATGCGACGTCTATGCTAGGTGAGCTCGCTCGCCCGCCGCGAGACGTATACGCTGGACGCCGTCCTCTCAACGTACTTTGCCGTGACGGGCTGGGCGACATACCATCGGCTCGCCAACGACGTCTTGACCGGCCAGCGATTCACGTGCGTCTGGCTCATCGACAAGGTGATCGTGTACCCGCTTGTCGAGTGGATGGAAGAGGAGGAGCACGTGAAGAAGCCCCGCGAAGTGCGATTGTACCGTCGTGACACTCAAGACCAAGGCGAGTCGCCGCCGCCCAAGAAGACCACCGCGACGTTCCGAACGAGCGAGTTTTAGAGGCAGGGCTCGTAGCGACGCCATACTCCCTCTAAAGACACACAAGTGCTGCGAGTCTACACGTAGCGACTTGATCGTTGACGTTGGAGGGTGCATGCTGTCGTTGCAGCTGCGTACAGGCCATGAGCAACAGGCCATGGGCAATAGACCATGCGACAAGTGCTGTCGCTACAGGCGCCGACGATGTTGACAGTGTGGCAGTCGACGCCTGATTCAGTGGTTGAGCACGGGGTATACCTATCATCTACGCAGCTCTCAAACCACGAGGTCGGGACAAAGTGTGTGTTTGTATCAATCTATCAGAAAGATAGTCCTACCGAGAAACCGTTCGGATGAAGCCTGAGGCCTGGGCTCCAGCTGTCAGTTGGCCTTAGTTACCGATGCACCTTTACGTAGTGCACTCGCCAGACGAAGGGAGGGTTAGAATGTAGGATGATGACCATGGGTCGAGAGAGCATGGAACCCTGTGAGCGATGGCACAAGTAGCACCATCTATCATCGATGCATCCATCCAACGTGTTTGTGTTGACATCATGAGTTGACGAAACTCAACTCAACAATTTGGCCTACGTAGCGCTACGCCTGCATGCGTGGGAGCTAGTACGAAAACTTGGTTGTTCGCGGCGCGCTGGGTCCGAGAGGTGCTTCACCCCGTGATACCGGCCCCAGCTTGTATTAATAAAGTGTGCGCCATCGCTTAGCACAAGTGTGCTTGAGAGAGAGACCAGAAATACCACAAAGCGCCTTTGGATTCGATTCTCCCAGCGAAGACCATGTAGTTGTTGTTGAGGTCTAGCAATGTTGGTCCTGCAATGTACTACACGTATGTACTTCCGGATGCAACGGTCATTGGACCCAGGAATAGCACCACAGGGTAAAATGGTGGTGCTTCGAGTGCTTCTTGCGGCGGCGGTGACGCTGCAGATGGCACGGGCGTCTCAGTGCCCCAACGACTGCAGTGGCCACGGCCTCTGTCACTTTCAAGGCGTCTGCCAGTGCTCCCAATCTTTTATGGGCGCCGACTGCTCGCTGCGTACGTTGTCTCACTCCTAACCTCCTAACCTCCTATGACGACTCTAGTCAAGTGTCCAATGGGCACAGCGTGGGCCGACTACCCGCAGTCGTCCGAGAATGCGCACAACCTCGCCGAGTGCGCCAACCGAGGTGTCTGCAACCGCGCGACAGGGCTCTGCGACTGCTCCCCGGGCTTCACCGGCGCTGCCTGCGACCGCAGTACCGTTGAACGTGAATAGCGGTGTCCTATCTGAGCGCTAGTGGCTTGCAAATGCAACGGCCGCGGCACGTGCCTCTCGATGAGCCAGCTCGCGACGACCAAGGATCCAGGTCTTGGCACGGTGCACCCCTACACGACGCCATGGGACGCCAACCAGATCTACGGCTGTCAGTGCGACGATCCGTTTACAGGCTACAGCTGCACCGAGAGTACTTGTTCTTGCTGGCTTGAGATTCGATCGAGGTTGATCGCGCGATAGTGCACTGCCCCCGCGGCGACGACCCCCTCACGGGCACGACCCAAGACCCCAACGGCGTCCAATTCAATGAAAAGCAAGTCGTCACGTGCATGGCCACGGTTCGCTTGGCGGCCAAGACGCTGGTGCTATCGACGTATATGTAGGGCGGGTCGTTCACGCTGGCCTTTCGAGGCTTTACCACGGCGCCGATTCCAGTGTCCGACTCGGCCGCCAGTATGCAAGCCAAGCTCTTGGTCTACATGCATTCGATCACTGCGTCGTCATCACTAATGACATCGGATGGTAGGCACTTCCATCGCTCCACGGTGTCGTCGTCACGTTCTCGGGTCTGACGCCCACGGCGTGCACGGTGCTCGGTCATGCCATCACGATCGAATTCACACAAGACTTTGGCAAGTATGTGGTTTCGACGAATGACTCGACAACGGTGCTATTCTGTATTGTGTCTAGTCTGCCGTCGCTGGTGGGCAATGGCGGCGCCTTGACGCTAACGACGGTCGGCACGTCGCCCCGGCTGACCATTGTCACGACGGTGCACGGCACAAAGGAAGATGCCTACTGCTCCAACCGCGGTCTTTGCGACCGGTCGACGGTGCGTCCGTCGAAGATTCCTAGCAATCAATCAGACGACATGCGTAGGGCGTCTGCAACTGCTTTCCCAACTATGTCTCGAGCGACGGCTACGGCAACGTGGGTCGGCGCGGCGACTGCGGGGCCGTCGCGTTGGCCATCACGCAGTGTCCGGTAGACCGCAACTGCTGTGCTCGTCCAGTGTCGATGCGAGGGGTAGGGGAAAACCTTGGCCTGCAGTGGCCACGGTGTCTGCCAAGGCCCCCCGACGTTTGCGTGCATTTGTGCCAGCGGGTTCCAAGGCGGCGACTGCTCCGAGCGTACGACATTCCTGTCTACCGTGCAATTCTTTTCTGAATCTGAATCTGAATGTGCATAGAGCAATGTCCGATGGGCACTTCTTGGTTTGATATACCAAGCAGCCCGAATGGTGCACACCAACTCGCCGAGTGCTCGAATGCGGGGACGTGCGACCGAACGCGGGGCGTGTGCTTGTGCGACACGCGCTTCACGGGCGCCGCGTGCAATCGGCGTACGTTTTGAATTTTGCGACTTTTGCGAAATTTGCAAAATTTGCGACTTTTGTGACGTTACTGATTTCAAGCTAGTCGAGTGCCCCAACGACTGCAGTGGTCATGGCACGTGCCTCACGATGCAAAACCTCGCACCGCTCACCAAGCTCAACGGCGACCCGCGGACGGCGTTTACCTACGGGAGCATTCCCAACAACAACCCGGTGC